GTGACACTTTCTGTGATAGTGAATGGCAACTGCTGGTGCTGACCTCTTGCTAGGTCACCACAGTTAGTTCAAATTTAGGTTGCTTTATTTGACAAATTATATCCTAAAGAGGGAGAAAAACATTCTATAGTTTGGATACCCTCTACATTTGGTATGTTCAAGATAGGAGCAACTTGGCATTGGATTAGAAAAAAGCAGGGTAAGCAACCTTGGCATAAGTTGATTTGGTTCGTTGATGCAATACTTAAACGCAATTTCATGAGTTGGCTAGTTACCTTTAACAGACTCACAACCAAGGCTCGCCAGAAACAGTGGACACAAAATGTTGATGACACTTGTGTTTTATGCAAGTGTGACTCAGAAACAAGTCAACATTTATTTTTTAAGTGCGGATACTCAAAGAACATTTGGTAGGAACTTATCTATATGACAGACATCCCTTTACTAGACTCATGGAAAGATTCATTAGCCCGAGTTGGCAATAAATTCAAAGTCTCTTCATAATGCTTTACTCAAGCTATCTTGGAATGCTGCTATATATCATATGCGGATATAGCAGAATTGGAGAATTCATACGCAATGCTTCAGAACTGAAGCAGCATTGCTTGCAGAAATTCAATTTGAAGTTACATGCAAAATTTTGAGTTTTACTCGTCCGCACTCATCCCTTTTACCTAGAGCTACCGTAGTAAAATGGGGTCTTGAAGTTGTTGTAAAGAATTAGTCCATAATTTCAAATACTAATTTTGTTCATGTAATTATCTTTTCTTGTAGCAATTGTTCTGCTGCTTTGATGTATGTTAGTCTTTATGGATAAATAAATTCAAATTTAATCCAATAAAAAAAAAAAGGCAACAGCCTTCACTCTATTCAAACTTAGGTCAAATGTATTAGTTACAATCTCAAAACAAGAAAAAGGAAGGGGATATAATTCCTTTATTTGGTTACCAAAAATATTGGAAGGCTCTTCCCCTTTCCTTCGCTTCTTTTCCCTCAAATCAAACATACTCTGATTAATGATGGCTACTTGTTTTTGTATCTCTATATGTTTATTGATGATCATATGATTTAGGGCTTTATCAGTGGATAAAATTAGAAGGAGTGAAGCTCCCATTTCAATTTTATTTTATTTTATTTTATTTTTTGAACTAGGAGAATTGGGGGAATGAAAGGGAGAATGGGTAACAAGGGGTTTGCACCCCCGTGGTGTGGGTGGAATGCCCACACAATGGCCACATGAACCACACACTAGGGTTCTCAAACTAATTTTATATAAGTCTTGTAATTTAGTGACTTATCTCAAGCTCCATTTTGAAGATTAGATTATTTTTAGGAAAATAGTGATGCTAATGGCAAAGGTAATTACACTGCCATCCATTTAGGCTATGCTCGGTGTAGCACATGCTTGGTAAATGGCTATCAATGGATTATGAAAAAGTCATGTGGTTTAGCAAGGTAGTCAGGTTCTAGGCACACCACTTTCCATTATAAGGGCACGTCAAAGGTCTTCGTGTGATAGTTTGACTAATAGAAAATTCACATCTGATCAAATTTAAAGATACATTAGCATGACAAAACATGCCACAGACAATCTCTAACAAATCTGGCTTGGAACCAAATTACTTAATGTGTTAGGTTTCTATTAGTTAAGGATAATAAATGTTGATATGGCATTCCAGTTACAGAGGAAATATTTTTTGGAATTATGATTATATTTACGATTTTTTTGTTTATCTTTTATTTGTAACTTTCATATGTTAAAACATTAGCAGTAGTTAGATCATTCTGCATCACTAGGCCAATGGCAATGCGTATTGGGTCATAGTGTAGAAGCCAATGCAAAGGAACATTTTAACTTTAACTTTTATTTATCTTTGGAGGCAGCCAATCTCATTGATCAACAACTTTATTGGAGTGATTATAGTGCTATAGCGTAACTATATGAGTCTAGTGCATGTAACCGCTGGAAGCCAAAATAACAAGGGTGAGAAAACTAAAAAAACCACATAAACTCAATTTAAAAGCATAAGTTTATAAAACCACTTCTTGAATGTAAAACAGTTTGCCCATAAGACACTTGATACATATGCACATATATATGCACATATATCCACACACATCACAAGATGAAATTAGCTAACAATGCATTTAGAGAATCATAGTAACGTAACACATATCGATCTGCTGAGGATATGAAAGGCTTTTTAGAGGTTTAGAGATATCAGCCACGTTGGCTATGCTAACACCCCACTTAAAAGTTGGTGCCCAGAAATGAACTACAATAACACACAGAGCTCTTGAGTTTTGCAATCTGACTGATTGATTGACAACTAAAAACATTGATTAGAAATTATAGATTTTGACCCCAAAAAAATAAAAATCACTACATCTACACATGAAAATTACAAAGAATTACTCTTGTCATTTTCAAAGGAACAAATAAAAGCTCAAGAAAAAAGTGTCTTGCTTGATTGATTTCACAATGAAGTCTAACTTGGATATTCACCATCATTGTTTACTTTATTCACTACTCAAAGATAAAACAAATCAAAACCTATAACCAACATTTTCCATCTTATATATGAGTTGCCAAATCTATCTTATCCTAATTGTGTTAATAAAACAAAATAAAATAAAACCCAAATTTTCAAAATTTCTATTTGAACACTTGCAACTATCACACCAACTACAGATTAAGGCAGCAGCCTCCACTCCATTCAAACTCAGGTCAAATTTATCATTTACAATCTCAAAACAAGAAAAAGAATTTTTTGTTTGACTAACTACTTCTGTTCTTATTTGGGTTTGCGATTTATCTTACCATAGACTTAATTTCCATGAAAATGATTCAATTATGAACAAGATGAGAAAAGAAGATAATAGAGCAACTAGATTTTTGCTTTCCGATTGAAGAAATGAACCAAAATCATCTCATTTACATGAAAATTGAATAAGAACGATTGAAATGAAGTGAAAAACTGAATCGACTCACTGGTTCTAGGTTTGGTCGGGTGGTTCCATAGAGCTTGAAGCTTCAACACCACCATGGATTCAACTCTCACCCTTTTTTCGCCTACCAATCACCAACAATGTTGTCTTGAAAGACCAAGAAAGAAGAATTTTTTGGCCGCATGTGTTGGTTAAAGTTCGAAGTACTCAACCAATCGTGTCCCACCATGTCAACACCACACCTTTCCCCTACTCCAAAGACCGAAATGCATCGTTTTAGTAATTTTATGAAACACGACCATGCGCGAGAGAACTGAAATGGACGGTGCTGTCATAACTCAAATTTTTGTCAAAAAACATATATCTATATATATAAATCACAAAATTAATCAAAAATCATTAAAATTTATAAAATGTCAAGACAAATACAAAAATATAAAAATAAGAATTGTTCTCTTTTCTTTAACTAATATATCTTTGTTTTTTTTTTTTTTTTTTTTTTTTTAAGAGCTACATGCAAAAAGAAATTCAAGAAGAAATTGGAAAAGAAACTCAAGAAAGGGGACTCAATTGAAGGAAGTCAAAGTTGGAGATTAAATTAGAAAAATTATGTAAAGGCCTTGAAGCTCAACGTGTTTAAACCTCAAGTGGCCCATTATCCTCTAATCAGGGCCCAACCCAAGCTTAGCCCAAACCAATAATAAAACCCCAGTTTATTTTCTCTTTTAAAGGGGAAGGAACAGACAAAAAGAAGAGGGACGGCAAAACCGAAAAAAGAAAAAGAAAAGAGAAAAGCTCTTATTCTTCTCCTATCCAAACCCGGCAAAAAGTACCTCTATCTCCTCACCTTATCTTATAACATTTGTTCCTCATCTTACTAAATTTATGGGTTTTAACCTATCACCTATTAAAATCAAAGAAAATAACTTTTATTTTATATTGACTGTTAATTATGTTAGTTGAAAGTAAGTTTTTGTCAACTAACAGTCAATTAATAGTCAGTTAATATAATGAATAAAATATTATAAAATTAATTTTGTTATCTTTGTTAGTTAAAAGAAGATTTTTATCAATTAAAAGTCAATTAATAGAATTAATATTTAGCTAATAAAATTAATAAAATATTACAAAGTGAAGGTTATTTTTTTTAATTTTAATGGTGAGAAGCTAAAAATGTTATAGTATAAGGTGATAGGCTAAAACTTACAAATTTAATAAGGCGAGGAGCTAAAAGTATCATAATATAAAATGAGGAGTTAAAACCTAAAAACTTGATAAAATAAAGAGCTCACCCCCCCGGGCCCCCCCCTCCTCCCTTTCTCCATTTTTTTTCAATCATCGATTTTCTCCCCTCCATCACCGATCACCATTCTCATTACTGGTTCCTCATCTCCAATCATCACCATCCTCCACCACAACAACCACTGCTCACGGGCTGTCTCTCAGCTCTATCGAATTCGATCTCCAGATCTGCTCGCCTTCACCCCACAACAGCCACAAGTCATCTCCTCCATATCACAGTAGCTGAACAACCTTCTGGGATTTTCCTCCTCTCTTCTCAATCGCCGGCCTTCTCAGTTTTCCATCAGCTCTGCTATGTCATGTTTTATTGGTATAGATATGAAACAGAGGAGTTTTGTGGGGCAGCAGGGAGGGGAAATGATCTGGGCCTGATCTCGTGGGTGGGATTCCCCAAATCAGACTTTGATCTGCTACCCAAAAAGCCCACCATTTTCTTGTTATTTTCTGGAATTATTATTATTGTTCTTGAGTGGAAATGATATGGATTGAGATCAATATAATGAACATTACATGTTTTTTTTTTTTTTTTTGCGTTCTCTTATTTTTATTGTTAAAATTGCAAAAAAAAAAATTTGATATTAGGTTTGTTTCGTTGCAACACTTTCCCATTGAATTTATCTGAATAGAACCCTAAATTTCCTTCTGTTTTCATCCAGATTTTGGGTAATGGGTTGTGTTTTTTGGGCCAGTTAGATCTGGCCCAATCCAGTAAAAAAATTTAAAAAACAACTAAAAAGGAGTAAAGACAAGTAAAAAAATATGAATAAGATGATCAATGGATTAGGATAATTAGTTTAATTCATGATTAATAAAATTAATTAATTTTAATTAAAGTAAATTAAAATCTGCAAGATCTGAGCTCATGGAGAACCTAGATCTGGTTCTGCTGATGAGAACCCACTTGGGTTTTGAAGGATTTAGGTGAATGAGGGATGAGGTGAGTGTTTGGCTGAGATTAGAATCATAGGAGGAAAAAAAAGTGAGACGGTGGTGATGAACGATGAATGATGAATGATGAACGATGAAAGGGAGGAAACGGTGGATGAAAAGGTGACTAGAGGAAAGAAGGGTAGGACGATGGTGATCCGAGAAGGCGGAGAAATGGCGGAGGTTTTCAAGAGGGAGAGAGAAAAAAGCTGGAAATGGCGAGGAAGGGTGAGAGGGTGATCAGAGTTGAGAGAAAGGAGTTAGAGGATGAAGAGGGGTATTTAGGTAATTTTATATTTTTAATGTATTAATTAATTAAAATGATTAAGTGTGGTTATAAAATTATGGAAATATATGATATGGAAGTCCAAAGAATGCCATATCAACAAAAAAGGACATTTTTTTTCACACGTCATTAAATCTTAAAAAAAGTGAATGATTTTATGATATTTTAATATGCCATGTTACTTCCATTGACGAAAGGATCAAATGGGTACTGAAAATTAAAATTGAAGAATATTTTTGATATTTTTTATGGTTTAACAATGAATTGATTTAAAAATAAAAATTAAGAGATGAAATTGAGAATTTAACTTACTTAGTTAAAGAACATATAACCAAATATATTCCTTTTACATATTAACCAAACGGTAGGTTGGCTTCACAAGTAAGTGATTTGCTCTGGGCAGTGTGAGCCCAAATTTCTCAGTCATGTCCAATCCTGAAGGAAACATACCATCTGCCAATTCCAAGTCAAAGCAATGCACCAGCTGAGCTAAAACATATTTAACGGTTAATACCCCTAACTGCAAACCCGGGCAACCTCTCCGACCTGATCCAAATGGTATGAGCTGAAAATCATGTCCTCGGACATCCATATCGCGTCCAATGAACCTTTCTGGAAAGAACTCCTGTGCATTCTCCGACCAAGCCACTGGATCTCTTCCAATTGCCCAAGCGTTAACTAAGATTCTTGACTTCTTTGGTATGTCATAACCATTTACGGTAATGTCTTCTGTGGACTCATGGGGAAGTAGTAATGGCACGGCAGGATGCAACCTAAATGTCTCCTTAACGACCAAATCAAGGTAATTTAATTTCCCCAAGTCTGTCTCCTCTACTATTTTGTCCATTCCAACAACCTCTTCTAACTCCTTTTGAAGCTTTAATTTCACTTGTGGATGCCTTTGAAGCTCTGACAGCGCCCACTCTATCGTTGTTGAAGAAGTGTCGAATGCAGCAGCGATCATGTCTAGTATTACAGCCTTTAACTTTGTTCGATCTAACTTGAGTTCTTGACTGTTGTCATGGGAACTCATATGTTGATTCATTCGCAAAAGCAAAATATCAACAAAATCCTTCTGCTGTCTTTGCCCAAAATCTTGTTCATGCTCGTTGATAATTGTCTCTAGAATTGTGTCAATATGCTTGCTCACTGCCTTAAAGCGTGGGATCAATCTCTGGGTTCAACAAATAATTAATCATGGTATCAAAATAATGGAACTTGCGACAGCTAAAAACAAGCAAGCACATTGACTAAAAAACAGAAAGGAAAAAGGGTTTTTTTTTTTTTTAAGGTTTTTTTTAAGGGTAAAAAATAGAAACTTTTATTATTGAGGTTAAAGAGTATCCTAATTCATTTATATAAAAACTTCTCACCAATTCTTTCTTTCTTTTTTTTTTTTTTTTTTTTTTTTTTTTGCATATTTAACATAAAGGAAAGAATCGGAATTGAGGAGAAGGGGAATATTTTACAACAATGTTGGAAGTGTTCACCAATTCTTTCTCTTAAAACTTAACCAAAGCCAAAAAATTAAGTCAGCAGAAAATAAGCAGCCACCAGACAAACATATTTATTTTCTAGCAAAAATTATGCATTTAGCATATAACCAGTGCACATGATCAAATCATAATTCCAAAAACTATCAACCAGCGAGAAGCAACCATGGATTAACAGAAAGAAAAGGCTACACCACGTTGGTCTCTTTTGGCCAAGATCGAGATGCATACTCATGATTGTCACACTTATTTTTTTTTATTTTTTTATCACTCTTACTAAATAAATAATTAAATTTGATAAAATTACATTTATTATAGGTTAAAATTCTATACAAACTTTTAGTAGGATTCAATTAATATAGATGTTAGTTCTTTGCAGTTCAAAAAACATAATAATAATAATAATATAGATGTTAGTTTACTTTAGTTCAGATTTTTTTTAGGGCTTATCTATCATATATTTTAGGACACAAAATAAATAGTAATTACTAACTAATAATTATTACTTTTTACCTTAAAAGTAGTGAAGTTAGGTTTTATTTAAATTATAGACGCCATCTGTTAAGTATTGATTGGTTTATTTTAAACTAAAAAATAAAATTATTTTTTTTAATTTAAAATTTCATACTTTTAA